AAAAAAAAAAATGTTTTATATGAATTCTTATCATATATTAAAACTTATATTTTTTTTATTTTATACAAGTAAAATTGTGCAAAAAAAAAAAAATTCAAAATTTTTCTTTACATTTACATCCCCATTAATGAATTTATTTTATGGAATTTTCAATATTTTTTTTTCAAAATTCAATCTTTTGAGATTTTTTTATCACAAACATAAATTTTATATTAAATATATATATCTATATATATATATATATATATATATATATATATATATAATTCGTATAATATAAATGGAGGGATGCATTAATTATTCATCTTAAAAAATATGTATTGGGAAGTTTTATATATATATATATATATATATATATATATATATATATATACATATAAATTGTTTTTTCTGGTTTTAATGGGTCCAAAATATATATATATTATATTCAATATATATATATATATATGATTAAAATTTTTCTATGTAAAAAATAATAAACAAGACATCGAATAAAAAATTAAACCATTTAATTTTCTCTTAAAAAAAAAAAACCTTAAAACAAAAACTGGAAGAAAAGTTTTGCTGTTTTTCATCAAAAGAAACAATTGTAAGAACTTTTTCAAAATTTTCAAAAGAGAAATGTAAAATTAACAATATATTTTAAAAAAAATTATCTATATATATATATATATATATATATATATATATATATATATATATATATATATATATATGTAATTGTTTATGCAAAGAAGGAACTATCAGATGACAGCAGTCCCAGGAAAAAATAAATGTTGTTTGCTCAAAAAAAGTCTCTGTATATGTTATAAAATATTCAATAGATTTATTTTTATTTTATATAATAAAAAATTGTGATCTTATAAACATGGTGAACCAAATAAACACATATTTGTTGAGTACCAATTTTTATTATTTATATATATTTTTTTAATATGTCTTGTAATATTAAATTTTATACTTTTATTTTTTCATTAAATTTTGTAATTTCTGCAAAATATATATATATATATATATATATATATATATATATATATATATATATATATTTATATATATATATATTAAAATTTCCCGACTTTAACGAAATGACCATTTTTAACCTACGAATTGTTTCATTTTTTTCAAAACTTTTTATGGTATGGGTTTTTTAATCTCAATTTTTTTTTTCAAATATTAAGAATCCATTTATAATGGGTCTTATTTATTTGGTTATGAAAAAATAAAAGTTACTTTTTACAATTTTAAATACTAAATATTAGGAGATTTGTATGTTTTTTTTATTACATCCTTTAATATTTTAAAATAAAATATTTAATTCATTTGAAACTTCAATTCTAATATTTCTGGAAATTTAACATTTTTTAAAACCTGAATTATAAATATTCATTTTTATTTATTTTATTTCTTTATTGTCATTTTTCCCGTTTTTCGTTAATTTACAAGAAAATTCCCACAAAAAAATTTGGAATAATATTCCGTTATTTCTGAAATTCTCAAATTTAAAAAAGTTTTTTCTTATTTCAAATTATATATTTTATTAATAAGTTTCTCATGGATTCTTATAACGGATTTAACTGTATATATATATATATATATATATATATATATATAATAATAAATAAAAAAAAATAAATGTTTGATCATTATCTAAAAGTTTAAAATTCCAATGTTTCTAATATTGGAAATGTTGATTGATCAAAAAATTTACTTGTTTAGATTTTTTGATTTTTTCTTTAAAAACATTTGGATATTGGTGTAAATTTTACATTTTCTTTATTCTCTGTGTTTGTTTGTTTTTTTGTTTTCTTTTTGTCATCATGAAATTAAAAATGCATATTCTGTTCGAATTAAGACGTGTGCCATATATTTTGAGATAGATTGATAGATAGATAGATTATATGAAACGGATATTTGGTCATAAATTGAGAACAAAAAAGTTTTGTAAACAACTTAATAATAGATAAATTATTTTCATTCTATTCGATAAATCAAAAAATTTTTTTATTATTTCAATGAAATTGAAATTCAGAAGTGTTTATTTGCTAAAGAATAAATATGTTATTTCTTTTGCATGTTTAACCATTAGAAAACGTTTCTGCCCTCATTTATCAGCATAGTTGATAATCGTCTCCCAGAGCAACGATTTGCAAACATGTGTTGACCTGACTTGAAATGGAACAATTTAATACATTGAATCAATAAATTGCATCTACCGCATAGTAAATTTTTGTTCACTGTGTCAATAAGAATCTTTCATTTCTTTTCTCAATTCCATCACATTTTTTATAAATCCTTTAAATGAATATGCTCATTTGACTAATCTGGTTTTAATGCTCCTGTAAAAATCTCTGAGTTTGACCATATCAAACAAGGATCTGTAATTTAATTGTCCTGAATTGGCTTTTCATACTCATCATTTTAATTTAACCAGATGTGATATTTTGTCTTTTTTACAAATATTTTCCATATTTTACTGTTCTGATTTCTTTTGATGAATGTTTAATGTTTATCAATTTATTTATATGTTACTAACCATTGGCATCTAGGTTTTTACCTATTTACTGTTGAAATCAAATTTCATATAAGCGGGAAAACCCCTTCATAAATTAACTTTGAAAAAATCACACTTCCCTGATATTGGAACTTCCATTCTTTTTTTTCAATAAACATTACAAAATTTTATCTTCAAAATTTAAATACAAATCATGTTAATACTTATATTGCCTTGATCACTGTCCTTTTTTTCCATTCAATCATTAAAAACCCTAACAAAAGATAATTTCTCACTAAAATTTTCCGTAAATCCTTATATTTTTTAGTAACTTCAACTTATTTTAAAATGCTTAAAAAATAAAAGACATACAAAAGAAATACAAAAAACCTGCCGATAAAAATTCCATTTGGAGAGAAATTTGAAAGAACTATAGTTTCCACAATTTCTACAAGGAGACAAGGTAATTTACGAAATTTATTCTTCTTAACTAAATATTTAATTTAAAAAATTTGATATATTGCATAAAAACGTAATAAAATATCTTAAAACAGCCATATGTTGTGTGGTATATCTATGGAATAAAGTGCTCAATATCAGATATAGAGTGTATGTAAATATAAAAGTGAACAGTTAAGTCAACACTCAAAGGCTACCAACTGTTTCATGCTAGACGCAATCGTCAGGCCGCGAGTGTTGAATTTTTCCTCGACTATTTATATATACAGGTCAGTGGTGCATTGCGGGTAGTCCATTCTGGCGGTTATTTTAGTCTGACTGACTTATTTAATTACTTATTTGGGCTAATTTATTTTACTTATAATTTATTTATTTTCATTTTTTTATTTTATATATTTATTTATTCTTTTCAGTTTTCGATGTTTTATTAATGTTTTAAAAATTTGTGGGGGATTTTCTTAGGTCGCTTATTTAACAAAACAGACTATTAAATAAGCGACCTAAGTACTCCTCACACCCAAATTTATAATATTCACTCACATTTGAACCCGAATAAAACGCTAACACAATTTTAACTGAATCTTCATTAACCGTTTTATTTTGCGTAGTAAATTATTCTCAACAAAAATATTTATTTAAATTTATTTTTTTATATAAGCAAATAGTTATTATCATGAAAAGAAAAGGAACGTTCAAAGCATTCCAACGCTGATGTTACCTCAAATTTATTTGATTAATCCAGTTTTATTTTGGAAAAGTCACTTTAAAAACCAGTAAAATGGTTAGACAAGTGACAAAAGAGACGGGGCAATTATTTGGTAATGTAATGGGAGCACCATTTAGTTCAGTCTCTGTTTACTTTACCATTTTTTTGCAAAAAAAATTGAGATACATAGAAATCTTTTTGGGACTATTTACCATTTCTCAGTGCGATCATCTTCGGGTAATTGCTGAGTAGAGTTGAATTCTCCATAAGCGGACTCTCCATACAACAGAAACACATCATATCACACATCGTCATCTGAAAATAAATTAATTAATGGTGATAATACCTATTAAATTAAATGTCGAGATGATTTTATACATCACGCTATAATTCCATTATATATATATGTAATATATATATATATATATATATATAATTATTATTTATAGAAAAATTATAGGAAAGTATGTTTAAAAATTTGGACAAAAAAAATTGCCAATTTTAATTTTAATATTAAATTTTATCATATAATTTTATAATTATTGGTTAGTATAAATTATTTTTAATATTAGACGTATTTTTAAAGATCTGAATAGCTATTATAACATGATTTCGTTGTCAAGCTTTTTGAATCTTTCTATACTTCGTTTTTTGATTGGTTATTCTAGCTTTTGTAACAATGTTTTCCCTAGTGTAGGAACATCGTTAATTAATCTGAAACTTTTAAAACCATTTATTTTATTTTCAACATCATCACTTGATAAGACACCGAGGGTGTTGAAACAAAATGGCTATTTTTGTAGTGATTTTATAACATACTTATGTTATAATTTTTTTTAAAAATAATTATATCTATATATATATTTGTATTGAGCACTCTTTTAAGAATAGTAATTGTTGGTTATTGGAATTCATTCCGTATATACCAATTATATACATGGATATATATATATATATATATATATATTATAAATGGACAAATTATTTTAAGAAATTTTCTATGTTCATACGTTCTTTTTATACATACAAATATTTAAGTAAATGCTCTATTCATAATAAACAAGATTTACCGGCCTGAATGTCCGAGAAATTTTCATAGAATATATAATTTCCGACTTAAATCGAACCTGTATCCTATACAGAACCGTCATATAGCATTACGTGCTTTTACCGATTTGGCAACAGAGGAACATTTCGGTTAGCAAGGTGTATTTTACTGTTTTTTAAACTACAATTCTCCATGATTTTCTCACGTGCATTCATATCTGCTCGATGCGTATCCAAATGTATATGGATATGGACAGACTAAGATAGATAAATAGATAGATAGATATAGACAGACTAAGATAGATAGGTTATAGAGAGAAATGGACAGACTAAGATAGATAGATAGATAGATAGATAGATAGATAGATAGATAGATAGATAGATAGATATGGACATACTAAGATAGATAGATAGATAGATAGATAGAAATGGACAGACTAAGATAGATAGATAGATAGATAGATAGATAGATAGATATAGACAGACTAAGATAGATAGGTTATAGAGAGAAATGGACAGGCTAAGATAGATAGATATGGACATACTAAGATAGATAGATAGATAGATAGATAGATAGATATGGACAGATTATGATAGATAGATAGATAGATAGATAGATAGATAGATAGAAATTTAAAATGGACAGACTAAGATAGATAGATAGATAGATAGATAGATAGATAGATAGAAAAAATGAATTTACCTGATCCCCCATGTAATACATGTTGCCCTCATTTCGCATCTCCAAGGTCCTTTCTAGGAAGGGCAAAATTCTCCGACAACTCTCCATATATCTCATTTGCATATCGGTCTGAAAGATAGAAAAAATATCATCTATATTTAACTTTTTATATATTTAAATGTTCAGGTTATGTTACCGCCTTCCTTATGCCTTCCAGATATATTTTCAACATAATCATAAGACATTAGTCTCAAAGGTATTTCATTTCTTAAATTTATACTTTCAGATATATGTGTATACTATTTCTGCCACGACCTGTACTTAACGAAATACAAATAAAAATTAGTAGCCTTCAGGTGACATTTTTTTCATCCATAAATGTCAGAACTCAACAGCAAAGTCATTCGTGACAATAACCCATCTAGAAATAACTATAATTCGAGATTGCAATACCACAGATTAAAGGCAATGTATCGGCTGTCCCAAAAAATTTGACATAATTTAAAATGTGAATATCTGAGTAACATGTCCCAGGCAAATAAAATTAAATATGCTTTTGTTTATATTTTCAGATGATTCAAAATGTATAACTATTTACATTATTCGGACTATTTTCCCCGTCTTTGTCCCCATGTTCATCACAACGTTTCGGTCGTTGTCTGCTCCAGCATTCTTCAGCTGGTTGGAATGTCGAACTGAACCCTTTATTTCGTTCACTGGGGTAGACTGTTCTATTTCCCACGTGCCATGTCTAATGGATGTCAAAAAATCTACTGTTAATTTAGTTTCCAAAAAATGTAAATAGTGTAATAATACCTCATCTCAGAAATATAGAGATAATGAAGGGCCGAAACGTTGTAATAATATTTTACAAAGATGAGGAAATTCCGAATGATGTAAATAGTTACATAATACATTATCTCAGAAAATCGTTAGACAAATACTGAAGAGCCGAAAATTGTAATAAATATGGCGATGAAGATGAGGACAATAGTTTTCTAAAATAATCTAAATAGTGTTTATAATGCCTCATCTCAGAAATATAGACAGATACTGAAGAGCCGAAAAATAAATAAATATATTGTAATGTGATGACAATAAAATAATGTAAATAGTGTACATAATACCTCATCTCAGAAATATAGACAGATACTGAAAGGCCCAAACGTTGTAATAAATATGGCGATGAAGATGAGGACAATAGTCCGAATAATGTAAATAGTGTACATAATACCTCATCTCAGAAATATAGACAGATACTGAAATAAGATGAAAGATAACTAGCCAAATTTAATAGTAATTACAATTCACTTCTGTATGGAACGAAGTTGAAAATACGAAGGAAATATGATATTTGATTGTTATTTGATTGTTCATATACGCTTCTATCATTATTGTGTTATTTGTGTATCCCAAAATCTTTTTTGTTTGTCAAGACAAAAACGCGAATGCATCTAGCAGTGAATAAAAATTAATTCATAGAAAATGATTTTTCAGTAAAATATTAGGTGAAAATATCTCTCTCTCTCTCTATCTCTCTCTCTCTCTCTCTCTCTATCTCTCTCTGTGTGTGTCTATATATATATATATATATATATATATATATAAAGAAAGAACAATAAGATATATAATCCGGTGTTTTTGTTATTTTTTATTTTTATTTTTACAAACAGTTCTGAATGTAAATTTACAGAGTATAAATATTATAAATTAACTGATTTAAAATATGTTTTTTTCTTCGCTACACAGTAAGAACCATGTTTCAAAAATGGAAGCTAAAATCTTTAAATTTAAATATATAATTAAATTAAAAGCATTAGTTCCGTTCCATCTTCAAACGATTCCAGTATTCGAAACAGTTATATGTAACCGCTCTGTCTCCTCCTCAAAAAACTTCTTCTCACGCAGTACCCGACAGTGGAACTCCCTTCTTCTTACTTACTTTCCTGTTAACTCTAATCTTCACATATTCAAATGTAATGTCAATCGACATCATCTGATCCCTTGTTCTTGATTCCTTCTCTACATCCTTTCCTCAAACAAACGCACCTATAAATTCACAATTGTAAATTTATATGTGCTTTTAAAACTCGGTAAAATTAAAAATAAGTTATTCCAATATTCGCTTGAAGATGAAACAGAACTAATGTTTTTAAGTTAATTATATAATTAAATTTAAACTTTTAGCTTCCATTTCTGAAACATGGTTATTAATGTCTAGAAAAAAAACATAAATTTCAATCAGTTAATTTATATATATATATATATATATATATATATATATATATATATATATATATATATATATATATATATAAAATTTCGTCTGCGTATAATCTGTGCAGTTAACCTTAAGGTAGGATATCTAACGTAGACCTGTTTTAACAGGTGTAATTTTGGAGGAATCGAGACTTTTCTCATACAGTCTCAGTTATGGTGGACTGGTCATGTCTTGAGAATGTCTGATGACAGGATACCCAAGATCCTAATGTACAGCCAGTTAGATCAGGGCTACAGGAATGAAGGAATATTAAAAGATACAAATGCAAGCTGAATCAAAAAAGAATAGCAAATATATACCGTTAACACCCTTTTAGCGCTTAGCCTTGGAGCGGGTAAATGGAGATCAACGTGTTTTCAATCTCAGCTTGTGTGAATCACCTTCAAACAGGAGAGCAGGATCTAAAATTCAGCCTATCTAACAGTGATCTCATCTCACAATCCTCACACTTGCTCTATATGTGTTTCCTTTGTAAATCAAATTTGACTTTAGATTATTCCACAACCTTTCATAACTCAATCAATAAGATGTCAGATCCTTATACATCGAAATCGACGGGAGAGTCCATTAGATAGATAGATAGATAGATAGATAGATAGATAGATAGATAGATAGATAGATATGAAAGACTACAATTTCCGTTACTCAGGCATACCGTCACATCGTCTGAAATAGCCAAGGATTGGGCGATCGAAACCAAATTTTTAGCCTGATCTAGCCCTTGTAAAGGTAGAAAATATCACGAGGAGTAAAGTACTTACAAAGTCTCACACATGTTCAATACACGTACCACCTGTGACACAACACACCTCAAGGCGCTACTTGACCCCCTCGTGATTTTTGATGTGTGAAAGGACATGTTTTATATTCCAGCTTGTTTAATTTCGTCTTCCTGGGACATATAGTCACTCGTATATTCACATTTTAAATGATAGATAGATTCGAAAAAATTGAGATAAATACACAGACGCATATATATATATGTGTGTGTGTGTGTGTGTGTGTGTGTTAAATAACAAATTAAATTGTGTAACAGTATGGGATATTTGTCAGTTCCACAAGAGCCCAACAGCGTAATAAATACCTCGGAATTTTCCAGTAAGATATCTTTAATCATTTCTAAGATACAACCTTTCAAAGTTTAATCTAACAATTGGACAATTTTGCTGTTACACTTATATATATATATATATATATATATATATATATATATATATATATATATATGTGTGTGTGTGTGTGTGTGTTGTGTGTGTGTGTGTGTGTGTGTGTGTGTGTGTGTGTGTGTATGGCTGTGTCTATAATTGGTGTAACATAAAAAATTGTGGGATAATTTTTCATCCCACAAAATGTTTAATACCTAAAAAAAATACACTGAACTAATTGAGTTTCTTTTTTGCAGGTTTTCAGATAAGACGTTTATCCCTCTTGACATTATTTCTCGTAATAATCACAGAAAAAAACCCTTGATTTATTTAGCTAGAAAGAGAACAGGTTAAAATCATTATATGTCACCCCAAATATGTCTTCCCAGCTGAGCAATAGTGAGAGGAAAAAGATCATTCAGCCTTTCAGTAATGCTACCAACATTCATTCTGGCTTCCATCTTCAAAGTCCATTCAAGAATCGCCATTACAACGGTGAATAAGTTTAAAAAAGAGGGAACAGTAGGCAGGAAAACTGGATTAAGAGGTTACAATAGGAGGAGGCATCATCATTTCAAATTATATCGAAATATATTCTTATTGTTCTATTTAGAATCCAATACTGTTATAAAAACCAGGGAAGATGGCTTTAATCATTTCTAGGATACAGCGATTAATCTGACAATTTTACTGTTACACCTGGTACATACTGTTGTGGTAAACCCTCTTACAGTATAATGAACTCTTCCTTCTCTCATAAATACAAACTGCGAGAGTCGGGTGAAGTCGGGTGGATTAGTAGACGCAGTGCTAATCTACTTATTACTAACACTATTGTTTTCTATATATCTTCAGTATACATTTTCAACCTACCTTTTTATTCCGTATCTTTTATCTGGCCCCTAAACAGGCCAAACACACATTGCACACACATTACACACATACACACACATATATTTGTCACACACACACATATATATATATATATATATATATATATATATTTCAAATAAAGGTGCAATCAATTTACAAATTCATGAATTATTCATACAAAAAAACAAATAGCAAAAGGTTAATGATTTAATTGGCGAAAAATCCATCGTCATAAAAACAATTCAAAAAATATACAAAAATTCTCCGAATTTGTTATGAATGAAAAAATCCTTGTTTTTTATAAATTTATGTTATTAGTTTTATTTTTCTTACAATCTATTTTATTAACAATATATTCATCCACTTTGATTACAAATTTCTTCCAAAAAAAATAGATTTTGTTCTTGTTTTGTACAAGAACGCACAATTGCAAAATTTAAAATCAAACTCAGCGTTGCTATTGCACGCTCCAAAAACAATAACTCATTTCCAATAGCATTTTCGGATACAAAACAATACATATATTTTCAAGGTCCTTCTTATTACTAAGAGAAAAAAAACAAGAACAACATCTATTCCATACCTGAAGATGTCTGTAGGAACAGACGAAAGCTTGTAGTAAAATAAGAACTAATGCAATAGAAATTTATAAAAAACAAGGATTTTTTCATTCATAACAGGTTCGGGGGTTTTTATATATATTTGAATTGTTTGCGACGATGGATTTCTCGCCAATTAAATCATTAACCTTTGTATTTGTTTTATATGAATAATTCATGAATATATATATATATATATATATATATATATATATATTATATATATTATATCTATATATATACTTTAGAACGATAGAAAAAAATAAATGAAGGATATAAATAGATATGAAGATAGATAATAGATATGAACAAAGATAGATTTGAATAAATTTAGATAGATAGATAGATAGATAGATAGATAGATAGGAACTAGCCTACATTTATATAAACAAAGACATAGATATGATTATGGAAAATGTACAAACAAAATGAACGAATGGGATAAGTTATGCAATTAAAACCCATTGACGTGTTTATAAGAAAAAGTAAGTAATCAAATACTTACCCAGCTGTATTCCATTGTGGGCGTGTTGGCGCTAGAACTAATGCAGGAACTCATCTTGGCTCCCATACACCATGAGCTCGACCCACTGTGGTGCTGTCAAAAATAAAAAAAAATTATATAAAAAATATGAAACACTTGTGTAAGGATAAGGTTGAAAAAAGCATTTTATTTTAACATCTTTGGAAAAAAACAAAAAAAAAACATTAGAATAATCAAAATCCTCTGTTGGCAATAAATCGGTGGCATAAGGATAAAAAAAAAATAGTTCATCAGATATACAAAAATAAAAAGGGGCTTAAGGCAAGGATGTGTCTTCTCACCGGACTTATTCAACCTATACAGCGAGGAAATTCTGAGAGAACTGTAAATTCAACCAGGATTCATTATTAGCGGCCACAATCTTAACAACATACGCAGATTACACTGTGCTTAGAAAGAACGGAAAAGAAAATTATCAAAATTATATACAGAAGGTTTTGAAGGAGAGCGTGAAGAATGGACTAAGCATAAACCAGAATGCATACTCGTCAGCAAAAAGATGAGACCGAAATACAATTTACAGGTCGAGGACATTAAAATCACGCAGATGCGGAAATTTAAATATGCGGGAAATGTTCTAACAGAAGACGGAAAGTGCGACGCTGAGATCCGAAGACGTATTGGGATGACCAAAGACGCATTCCAAAAGCTAAGCAGAGTATAACGAAACAAAATTTTGTTTTTTCTGAAGAAAATACTTCACTAAACTTTTATATTTCTTACCCCCTTTATGGTGGTGAATGTTGGACGGTCTTCTAAAAGTCAAAATTGAAATTGAGATTGGCCTAAAAATGACAGAAAATCGTGAGTTTTGTTGAGCGAATTCGAAAACCCGATTCAAATTAAAATGAAGAAAACTGTATCGCTGACTGGTTGCTAAATACAGCAAACAATATCAATTATTAGAAACCTAAGTTTTAATTATAAAATAATTTAAATTAAATCGCATAATGTCAGTTATTATTTACTTTTACGGTATTTCAAAATTGTTTTAGATACGTTGGTCGGTGTTACTATAGTAAATCTACGGTCGATTTTTTACTTTGGTATGGTATTCACCAAATATTAGAAGTTTTTAAATATGCTAATTTAAATGAGGTTAGGGTTTGAGGTTAGGGTTTGATTTTAATAGGGTTATTTAAATTTAATGGTTAGAGTTAGGGTTTGAGGTTAAATATTTAAAATTTGTCTAATATTAGGGTTAGGTTTGAGGTTTTCTTTATTTTAAAGTATTTATTATATTGAGGTTGGGTTTGATGTTAGGGTTATGGTTTTTCAATTGAGGTTAAAACAAAGGTTATGGTTAGGGTTAGGGTTTGAGGTTAGGGTTTGAGGTTAATATTGAATGTTAGGGTTTGATTCCTGGGTTTGAGGTTAATTTTAAATATTCTTTTTGAAAAAAGGTTTGAGGTTAGGGTTAGGGTTAATTTTGAGGTTATATAATTAGGAAAATTTGAGGTTAGGGTTTGAGGTTAAATTTAGGGTTTGAGGTTAGGGTTAGGGTTTGGGTTTGAGGTTAGGGTTTGAGGTTATGGTTAGGGTTAGGGTTTGAGGTTAGGGTTTGAGGTTAGGGTTAAATTAAAGGTTTGAGGTTCCTTTTTTGAGGTTAGGGTTAAAGTAGGGTTTGAGGTTGGGTTTGAGGTTAGGTTATTTTGATCTTTGATTCAAAATTAAAACTGAAAATTGTTACTAGTTTTGTTTTGGAAATATTTGATAGAGAATGTTTCCCTGATCACTACAATCTTGACCTGTTCAGGTCTAGAGTCAATCATTATATTCTATCCATATAAACTACTCCTTAACGTAACCCTTTTACCTTGAATTTTCCCTCAGGCCTTTTACAGGGTGAACCTTACTGTAACCTCAGCCATTCTTTTTTTGGCCTTGAAAAAAAGATATAAGTTGTCCATCCCTGGATATCAAGATATTTGGAGGTCTGCCCGTTTCACTATAGCTATTGTTACGAGATTATGGTTTCCACAACAATAGTCATTAGACTCAGTGAACGTATAATTAATTCATTAATATTTTTGTAAAATTTAGATTTCATTGAGTGCTCTATATGTGTGTCCTTGCGCCAGACTTTGCAATCATGATGAATGTTCCTAATGTTGTAATTAGTGCTGTATATAAGTGGCACATATCTGTGGCATTTTGTAGCGAGACAGATTTCACTGAGTGCTCTATGTGTGTATCCTTGTGCCAGACTTTACAATCATGATAAACGTCTCTACTTTTGTAATTAGTGCTGTTTATAAGTGGCATATATCTGTGGCATTTTCTACCGAGTTAGATTTCACTGAGCGCTCTATGTGTATGTCCTTGCGCCAGACTTTGCAATCGTGATAAATGTACCTATTGTTGTAATTAGTGCTGTTTATAAGTGGCACATATCTGTGGCATTTTGCCAGAATATGCGAAATATGTTCCATGACGAGACACGAAATAAATCCTTCACTTAATTACATGGAAGTCTAAGAGAGAACAGCAAATTAATATTTGCAAACCTGGAACGAAGCCGATAGAAATTGCAGACAAAATCTAGGTACGTTGATATAATTAAGAGACCTGCAATTATATTGTCTGCTATTCTTCCTGCGAATTTTCCTTGGACAAGGACTGACAGCTTTGACAGAATGTCAGAGCCATTATTTGCAATTTCCGTCATTACTGCGAAACGTCAAAAAGCAAATACATTGTTCTGTCAGGATTTTATTTTTCAGCATTTTGGCCTTGTTTATGCAAGATTTAGTCAGCACCATGCCTTAGTGGAATGGTTCGCATCACAGGTCCGTTCAAGAAAGGGAGGCAAAATATTGATTATTAAGAGCTCTATTATTTGTCGCTTTCTGATATATTATAGTTTACCTTGTTATATAGATATAAAACTAAGGGTATATATATATATATATATATATATATGTGTGTGTGTGTGTGTGTGTGTGTGTGTGTGTGTGTGTGTGTGTGTGTGTGAGTGAGTGAAAATATATAAAAATAGGAAGGAACTGGTTAGGTAAATAATCCAAAGTCCCTTAGTATTTTAGTTATTATTTTTAAAAATAGTGCTCGATACAAAAGTAGAGCATAAATATAATTATTTATTTAAAATATGATTCCAACTCGCGACATAAGAGGTCTCATGTTTCAAAACAAGAGCCGAAAAATTCAATATAATTATTTGAATTAAATTGAGATAAAGTAAGCTCTGTTCCATCTCCAAGCGAAATTTTTTTTGGAATAACTGAAATTTACGCTTTTTATAAGCATACTCATTATTGAAATTAAAATTACTATGGTAACGGCTAGAGCATTTGTTTAAAGAAAAGGTTAATAATTTGTATCAATATCTCAGTTATATATATATATATATATATATATATATATAACTGAGGTCAAATCTGTTGGGTTTCGATCCCGGCTTGATATAATTGCATGCCTAGTCACATACTTATACAGCGAAACTCTCTGTGGATGACTAAATCATAGGTTATAAAAATTGCCCTACATTAATTTATAAAACATGTACATTGATATAAAGTATATGTTATAAAAAATTTTATTCCACAACTCTTTCGGTCAAGTCAGTGGATCCAACGAACGCTTTTAATCACTGGGCCATGCGTCCTTCAGTTGTAAGTTCAGTATCTGGCTGCTACAGTGATGGAGAAAAACTTGGATATATAAGTTATTTACTCATAGCTGATACATATATAATATAAATGGCACGTGGAATTAGAACAATCTACTCCGATGGAAGAAATAAAGGGTTCAGCTCTAAATTCCAATCATCTGAAGAAGGCCGGAGCGTACAACAGCGGAAACGTTGTAAATATGGCAATAAAGATGTCCGAATACTACAAATAACTGTTCTAATTTGTTGATAAATTAAGTGTTTATTTTGGGTTTACTTAATGATATCGCAATGAACTTTTCTGTCTCTTTTCTTTATTAAATATTTTAATATTAGCATTTGTTACTGTTAAGATTTATGAGACAATTTTTTTCTTTGTGTCCATTTTTACTTAGCAACTAAATTTCTATTGCAAAATTCGGAAACTTAAGGAATCAGCACATATGCTAGGCCACAAAAATCTCCTGAGCTGACCAAGCATAGAAATGAATACAATATGGGAACCAGTAATAAGGAGTGCCAAGGGAAATCGATAATAACAACAAAAAATGCAATAGGAGCTCTGGGATGAAAACATGAAATGATAACAGCAAAAAATATATTAAAAAATATTCACCACCTTGTAGACGAACCGTTTTGCAATCATTCCGCCCACTCGTCAGGAACATTTAACAATTCACTGTAGATTTTCGCATTTCCGTTATTTTTATATTAAGTTAATAAATAGTTTATGCTTTAGTTATTGCTGTGAGGCTGATTTTTTTTTTTTTTTTTTTTTTGTATGTGTGAGTGAGTGTGCGTGTATGTGTACGCGTGGGCGTGTTTGTGCGTATGTGTCGAATGTCGTGGTTATTTCTCATCATTTCCTTCTCTCTTTGTCCTCTCTCCGTGTTCTTTTCTCTTCCGTTTTTTTTTTCTCTCTCTTTTGAGTGTCATAGATAATGTAACCATTTCATTTCTGGTGTCACAGAAAGGATTTTTGGTTTTTTAGTTAATTTGTATCCTCGAATATTCTCGCGTTTTCTTAAGTTGGGGTTATTTGATGAAAATAAATATATCCTGTATTTTTTGTTAATTTATAAAAAGGTTAAGGGGAGTTGAAATAAAAAAGGTTCTGAGTTTGGATACTATCATCACAATTATTGATCAGACTGAAGATCATTTAAAATAGCAAATATATTTGTACAAGTTTTAGGTCCCTCAGAAACGTTTAGACAGCAAGAGAGAAAAATCAAAATTGTTAGTTCATTTTTTTTACCAAAATTTGAATTTATAAATAAGCAAACATTTTTAAACATAAAATTATGTTTATTTCAATCAATATTCCTGTTTTGTGGTATCAGGTCTTTGTTTCAATATATATATATATATATATATATATATA